ATCTTGTTTTTGGGCTTCCCCATGACATTTGGGACCATTTTTTAAAGCTAATTTGGAAGATCTATGCTGAAAAAAGCATCATCTCTTGGAGAGAGAAGTTTTGGGCAAGGACTTCTTGCTACCGGACCGGCAAGGACGAGGACCCGCTGGCCGGCCGGTCGCCCTGCACCAGCTCGCTGCGACCAGCAAGGACAAGGATTGTGAGTATTGGTGCTGCGAGGGGGGAAGAAGAGTGGGAGCAGAGGATCCGAATGGGGGAGACGTGAATGATTAGATAGACACCAAAAGAGAAAAGTTGCATTGTAAGGGCGCGTTTAGATCCAAAATTTTTTGGCTTTTGGCTACTGTAGCACTTTCGTTGTTATTTGGTAAAAATTGTCCAATTATGGACTAATTAGGTTCGAAAGTTTCGTCTCGCAATTTCTCGATCAACTGTGCAATTAGTTTTTTTTTTCGTCTACGTTTAGTACTCCATGCATGTGCCGTAAGATTCGATGTGACGGGGAATCTTGAAAATTTTTGGTTTTTGGGTTCCATCTAAACGGGGCCTAAAGCATGGTTTCTTGATACAGTTTCCTAGGCTATACACTCAACCGGTGCCTTAACAGGCACAATGATTGCCGGTGGTTGCAGCCGTGACCCGTGGGCATTGGTATTGTCATGAGCATCTATATTAGGGTGTTAACAATGGAGGTGCGTAGCAGCAGAATTTGATTACACATAGAGAAGTTTTTATAGCCAGATAGATTAGCCGCTTACCACCTTTGTCCCAAAAAAGAATGCAACTCTAGTTTTGTTCTTAGTCCAACTATTTTAAAATTTTGACCAAATTTTTAGAAAAGTATGCCATGATAAATCTAATGGTACTTACTATTTGATTTTATAATTGTTTGTTGTTTTTACTTTTTATTATAGAAATTTGGTCAAACTTGAGATAGTTTGACATAGGTCGATGTTGAAGTTGCATTCTTTTTTAATGACTTTTTAGAAATGTTTTGCATTGTTCATGTCCTCGGGACCAGTTGATGTCAGGTCGAGGTCCTGCTGATTTTAGTCTTAAGGATAACTGCAGTTGATGAAGGAATGAAACCAAGAGAAATGTGGCCATTGAAAGAGACCTTGCAACTATAGTGAGGTTTGATCCTGTACCTTCCAACGCCAATGACTAGTATGAATACTGGATTCTCTATGCTGAGCTGGGCAAAATGGTCACTTATTCTTTATTGTGCTCTTGGAGAATGGGGGCAGTAGTGGTGGAACACCTGACAATTACGGCCAATAATATGGCTCGATTCTCTTTTGGCATACTGTTCGGGTGGATCGTACAGTATGTTCAAGGAAGGAACAGGCATGCTGGTTTCAATGGCTGATGGGTGGTGCTAGCAGTTAACCAAGCGTGCCTTGCTGGACTGAACTATTATTTTCTGTCTGCTTAGGGGGACCGACCCTTCATGTTTTTTATCATTTGCCTGTTGCTTCAGTCATGATCAGATCTGGAGTTGTAGTCATTCCTTCTATGTGGACACCTGCCTAGTGATGGCCCCTACCTAAATCATTCAATACCAAGATCCACAATCATTGTCGGTCTGTACAGGCGCCAATTAACAGATATTGGAACACACTGTTAATCTACTTAAGTGTCATTTCCTAACCTGATTAACAGATGCTATTATAGAGTAGATAGCTGAAAGTGAATTGTTCTACAGTCGCTTTTGCACACTAGCCCTTTTGTGTTCTTTTTTGATGGATCTTGTAGTCTTTTTTCCAAAACAATGTTCTGTGGAGCCATATTTCCTACTGTCTCTGCCTTTGATTGACCATGAGAGCATATTGTATAGTGGACATAGCACCCTTGACATTGACAAATAAAGGTTGCAATAGTTGCAGTTTTCTGGCAAGCACATCATGTGAAATATGTTACTATATATTACCATTTCCTATATATTTCTAGCTATAGGAACCTACTAAGATATAATCTTACAGACTAACTTGAATTGAAAGCATAGATATGAAATTTTCTATCCAGCCATTAAAATTTCATGCATATGTTCAGTTGGCTGGTTTATGCCACTTTTGAACTTCACTCTGCACTTTATACAAATGAAAGTCATCTTTGGTTGCAGTGAAGAGTATAATGCATGGTCACTCTTTCTACAATGTTTACTAGCTAAAGTAGATAATAATGATGTAATCTGCTCCTTAGACATCACATCCAGCTGTCAACCCCAGCTGTTTCTTATTCCTCGTTTTTCCTTGTATTTGCAGATAATGATGTTTCAGACAAGAGTGTTACTGGGAGGAATGAACATGTACGATCGCTACCAGGATTGGCGCCTTGACGTTGATAACATGACATACGAGGCATGCACGCCCTTATGTTGTATCTATGTGTGACCACTGCCATCAGTCGATGATTAGACACTTTGCTTTGCAGGAGTTGCTCGAGCTTGGAGACAAAATTGGATACGTCAACACAGGGTTACGCGAGGACGAGATTACTCGCAACCTTAGGAAGGTCAAGCACCCATCCTTCAGTTCTTTCCGGTTCGCAACAGAAATGGAAAGGAAATGCAGTATTTGCCAAGTATGCCCATACCTCCATTTCTCTAAACTTGATTCCATGGATCTTCTCTATGCTAGCGCCCTGTGGTTCAATCTTAAAACTAGTCTGATTTATACTGTACTTTGCAGGAAGAATTTGAAGCAAATGAAGAGATGGGAAGGCTAGACTGTGGCCATAGCTACCATGTGTACTGCATCAAGCAGTGGCTCTCTCAGAAGAACACTTGCCCAGTTTGCAAGACTGCCGTTAGCAAGAATTGAAATCCAAACTCCAGGCACGCTGTTGGTAGATCTGAGTGGAATCGGCAAATTCTGTTGTCCTGTACAGCCCGTTATATATATATTATTATTGTATAAACACAATCCATTCGTTGCATCTTGCAGAAAGGAAATGGCATGTTTTGGTCATGTTCCATCAAACTACGGATCCTGATACCCTCTTATGTCTTATCTAGGGTGATTGGAAAAGGTTTTGCAGTAACAGTTAGGACGAGCCTTTGCTTTCATAGTGTATCTAGGCTCTGTTTGGATTCCATGGTTTTAGCTCTTGGTTCTAAACAGGTGGTTTAAAATGATGTCTAATTTAGCCAATTTTACAAAAGATCATTAATTCATTGAACTATACAAAGTATACTAAGGGGGCGTTTAGATCCAAAAAATTTTGGATTTTGGCTCACTGTAGCATTTCGTTTGTATTTGGTAATTAGTGTCTAATTATGGACTAATTAGATTCAAAAGTTTCATCTCACGATTTCTCACCCAACTGTGCAATTAGTTTTTTTTTTCGTCTACATTTAGTACTCCATGCATGTGCCGCAAGATTTGATGTGACGGATACTGCGCAAAATTTTTTGGAATCTAAACACCCCCTAAAGTGTTCTATCAAAAGTTCAGAACAGGCCTTGTCCCTGCCAACCTAAAGCCTCGTCCCTACAACTGGGATGGGCCGACAAGCCTGTGCCTATCTATAGCGACTCCAGAGAGAGAAACGTCGCTACACCTGCGAGGGCTGGGAGCGGCGCGCCTGGCGAGGTCGGCGGCGGCGGTCTCGCCGGCTGCGGCGTGCAGAGGAGCTCGGCCAGGGCAACAACTGCACGCGTGCGAGCTCGGTCAAGGAGGCCGCAGCAGCGTCCGGGCGAGCTCCGCATGCTGCGAACCCGGCCTCTGTTTGGGCAGCTGGGACCTACATTGTGCTCTCTTTTTGTTGTGGAACTGCCACAGAGTCAGAGACACGAGCCGTTGTCTACAACTGTTTGCCGGTGAGAGGCATCGTGCAATTGCAGCTACACTGAATTCATCTCATACAGTTCAGAGGGTCCTTCCATTGAATCCTTTTACTGTCCACCGGCTGAAACGTGCATATGACCACACCACTCACACGAGCCCTTCAAAAGTTGTTGAAAACTTGAAACTACATTTGCAACCTCGAATTCAACTACATACATGCATCGGTTCTCAAGGTTTCACCGAGGTGCCAGCAACCAGCAAGGTTCGTCTCCCCAGTGCTTCTACCGCTATGGCCTATGGGACTAAGAATGACAATCTGTGAGTTAAAACAGCCATCTAATGGCAGAAACCAAGGTAACCAAATCCGGTGCAAATGGGAAAAAAGAAATCCCACCTTTAGTTCCAGTCTGGCGATTTACTATGTACTTCGACGTAGTCTTGAACATTGTAATTATAGATATGAATGGCAAAAACTCATGAAGACCCTTCGTCATGTTGAGAGAGGAACTCTATTATACATGGGTATACTTCATGGACAGCCTGCGCATAGTATAGATACCATACTGTGAAGAGTACAAGAAACCAAAGGTAGACTCCTAGCTCTGATTAACCACTTATTGTCGACATACCTTTCTCCCTCCAACTAAGTCATAATGTGCATAGTGAGGGCCTTCGGGTTCTCCAAAAACCTTGTATGTAACCAAATGCTGAGGAATTAGCTTCACAGTTTCTGCACACACAAACAAAAATTAAGAGTTGTTTCTCTAAAGGGATTCAGAGAGAATATCGAGTAAGGATAGAATCTATGAGCATCAGGCATTTGGCTAAACCCACCACCCATTGTGGTTTTTGAAACTGTGCTATGAGCTAACACTGTAGCGCCTTAGTCCTAGGCTGTCAGCTTGTAGGCTAAGCCCAATTAGGCAATGAATTCTAATGACCATGATCATTGCACTAGATCAGGCGCTAGAACAAAGCTGCATATTCTTTTGGTTGAAAACTATCACTCACGCTTTAGGGCTTGTTTGAATGCACTTGTATCTACCTCAATCCATGTGTGTTGAAGTGGATTGGGGTGGAAATTAAACTAAGTTCCACCCTAATCCACTCCAACACACAAGAATTAAGGTGGATAGTGCATCCAAACAAGGACTTAATGTTTTTAGTACTATAAAAAGGAGGATTCCTTATTGCAAAACAACAAAGGAGAAATGGAGCTTTGCCAAACCGTAAACAGCTTCTGGCGGACAAATCAGATCCTCGTCTCCAGCAAGGGCAAGCACCGGGACCTTGATTTTGTTCAGATGCTCTTTGAAGAAAAAGGTACCAGTCCTGTTGCGCAGCCCGCCATCACGGAATGCGGTCGTAAGCTGTAACAAAACCTTTGCTGGTACTGTGCCTGTATGCCATGACCCCCACCCCCAACCACCACACACACACACACACACAAAGTTGTGACAGGAAATTCTTAAGAACATAGATGACAAAGGTCAGCATAACAGCATAACTGAACCAGGTGTCTGTTTTGAAAATTACCATTTTAGGTGGCAACAGTGAAATTTACTATTACAGCACAAGATTAGATATTCCTTCAAATGTTCATAAATAGTTCAGAACTAAAGCATAAGCACAAACATAAAAATAGCACCTAACCTCTATATCTGGGAACTACTTACAACAAACCAAATTGTATAGGAGATGCATACAAAATACAATGAACAATTTCGCATGATCTCTGTATAGTGTGAGTGTTTTGTAACCTTTGAACCTTTGCTTCTAACTGAAATGAAACGGCAGAACACCTGCCAAATTATGCTAAAAAAAACATTTCCGCATGATACTCTGATATTACTAAAAAGAGCCACATGGCTTATATTGCTAGCCTATGCAGATTTACTTTCTCTTGAACCGGCAGGAGATCTAACCGCCATTACCTATGCAAGTTCTTAGCAAAAATGATATTAGTAATACTGCTATGACACTTGTATGTTCATTTGTTCCATGGATATAACAAATGAGTCAGAAAACCTTCAAGCGAAACAATTCAAGGCTATATTTCAGTTAAATATCATCTGACTAGTACCTTAAATACAAACAAGCACTTGACAGTTTCAATAACAAACAGCAAGATACGCCTTTACTTACAAAAGTTATTCAAGATAAGCTTTGAAAGCAGTTCAGGGTCCATCATTTCCTTGGCCGAAATTTGAGAGCGAAGCAGTGACAGAATATATGGTGCACGAGATGATATAGGATAGGTAGTAGACAGTAATGCTCCTAGTGGGATAGCAGGAACACGCAACATCTCAGCTGGATCTGCCTAATAGAGAATATAACGAAGATTAGGCTACACGTATGCCTTTGGGGGGGGGCGTTGAGGAGAGAGATTGCCAAAGATGTTTGATGGTGGTTAACTTACAAACGGCAATAACAGCTTGAGTGAGGAATTGGATGTTGTGTAGTCAACTGATGAAGCCAAAGTAACAATTGCTGCCAGCTCTGGCTCAGCCCCTTCGGATCCTTATGAAGCAGAACCAGATGAATTAGTTCCATATATTGGTAACAAAATTTTAAACAATCTGATGTACAAACAAACTGAGCAGAACAAATATAAAAAAGAGAAGAGCTACCAATCGCACTGACATCTGATGTAAAAAGCAATGGAGATGGAACCACGAAAAAAGAAAACATAACTGATGGAGTGCTATCAATGATAAGAGATGTCATTTGGTCTCTGCACAGAGCTAGTTACATTTCATATGGGAATATGATAGATTACTATTTAAATTGACACATATTGCGCTCAAGGTAACTACTGGCTCTAGATCAGAGAGTGATGACATGGTCCTTTGATTCAAATGGTATTGTTATGCTATGTAATTTTTATTGAAAATAACATAGAGACAGGATCCAACTGAACTCCCAGGGCTTCGAACTCATGAACTCAGCTAACATTGTCCTACTCCCCAAAAAAGAAGACGCACTGTGGATCACAGATTATAGACCCATCAGTCTTATCCACAGCTTTGCAAAGATCTTCTCAAAGCTCCTGGCCAACAGGCTTGCCCCTCTACTCAACTCGCTGGTATCCAATTGTTAGAGCGCGTTCATAAAAAAGAGAAGCATCCATGACAACTTCTTATATGTCCAGACCACAGTACAAAAATTGCACAAACAAAACCCCCCGTCCCTCTTCATGAAGCTAGACATCCATAAAGCTTTTGACACAATCAACTGGAGCTACTGCAGGCCCTAGGCTTCGGGCCTCGTTGGCGCGAATGGGTATCCATCCTTTTCCGTACGGCCACTTCGACGGTGTTGCTAAATGACCAACAAGGACCTAAGTTCAGCCACGGTAGAGGGGTTCGCCAAGGCGACCCCCTATCGCCCATGCAACGGCTGCTGGAGTTAGCCACACAACAAGGAATCCTCTCTCCCTTGCCTTCGGCTGCAGCAAGGTGGAGGATCTCCATGTATGCAGATGACGCTGCCATTTTCATCAACCCCATAAAGGATGATCTGGAAGCTATCAAAACGGTCCTCCAAGCATTTGGGAATTTCTCAGGTCTACACATAAATTTGCAGAAAAGCTCAATTCACCCGATTAGGTGTGACGAACTGGATTTGGAACACATCCTGTCTTCTTTTGCGGGAATCAGAGGTGACTTCCCTTGCCGGTATTATAGGGTTGCAGCTGCACTTCCGAAAACTTCGAAAAAATCATGTACAACCGCTTATTGAGCGCATTGGCCAAAGACAGCGTGGGTGGAAAGGGAGATGGCTGAATAGAGAAGGTCGCCTCACTCTAGTCTCCTCGGTCCTCTCATCCATGCCGACCTACCACCTGACAGTGTTCCCTCTTGCAGCTTGGGCTAGGAAGAAAATCGACAAAATTAGGAGATCATTCCTATGGAAAGGTGAAGAAAATGCACATGGCGGCCACTGTCTCGTGAACTGGCCAATGTAAGACATAATCTGTTGCTGATCTCTCTCTCTCTCTCTCTCTCTCTCTCTCTTGCTGCAGCAGAGTTGGCATTTGGTCAGTTCGGCTGTCCAGTCTCTACTGCTGTAGCAGTATGGCAATAGGCCACCTCTAGTATATTAGTTGGTAGCTATTACATTAGCCATGTTTTGGTAGTGGGCTGATCTAAGCTTTGTACTGCTAGTATTAGGAGTAGTTGGTGTACCTTGGGAGTAGGTAGTTGGTGTACTCACCAACAACTATATACCTGGTAGAGGTACTAGCACTTGTATATATATCACACCTATGGCAATGCAAAAGAGTAGTTCAGTTTGCCACATCCAGAAGCAGAGCTTTCGGCCAGCGCTGGGCTTGTGCTGTGTGTGAGCTGTTCTCAATATCTACTTCTACCTCTAGCCATAGTGAGTATGCTGGTAAGCTTACTGCTTACCTGTGCAGGGCAGCCGAGGGACCAACAAGTGGTATCGTAGTCGTACAAGCGCCGTCGCCAGATTAACCGCTGGCGATGGTGGACGGTTCGGAGATGGGCGACAGCAGCGGCGCTGCTGTGGTTGCCCAGCCACGACAGGATGTCATTGTGCGCACGGTGCGGGAGGTCAGCGGCACCAGTTGGCCGACGCTGACTCGCACCAACTATGGCGAGTGGGCGGTGACCATAAAGGTCAAGCTCAGAGCCCGACGGCCCTGGAATGCCATTGACAAGGGCACCGACAACGAAGAAGACGATATGTCAGCGTTGGAGGCTATCCTCGCTGCTGTGCCAACGGAGTATAGGGAGCCGTTGGGGGCGAAGAACTCTGCTAAGGAGGCGTGGGAGGCCATTGCAGCGATGTGCGTCGTCTCCGACCGCGCAAAGAAGGCGACGGCCCAGCTGCTGAAGTAAGAGTACGCCAACCTCAAGTTCAAGGATGGTGAGTCGGTGGAGGACTTCTCCCTCCGCCTGAGTCGCTCATCAGCAAGCTGAGGAGCCACGACGTCACCATCGACGAAGAAGAGGCGGTCTCCAAGTACCTCCACTCCGTGCCGGTGAAATACATCCAGATCGCTCTCTCCATAGAGACGATGCTGAACTTGTCCACCCTCACCATTGAGGATGTGACAGGCCGTTTGCGGGCGGTGGACGAGTGCATGGAGCAGGCCACAACAACGACGGACAGCAGCAAGCTGCTGACAGAGGAGTGGGCTGCCTGGATGAAGGAGAAGAAGTCCGGGGAAGCCTCCTCCACCCACGGTGGCGATGGCAAGCGCCGCGGCAAGGCTTCTTCGGAGAAGAAGAAGAAGGTCGACCCCAACGCCTACCGGCGCTGCATGAAGACGGGCCATTTGGCAAAGAAGTGCCCAAATCGCAAGCAGGAGAAGAAGGCCGAGGGTCATTTAGCGCAGGCTGATGAGGATGATGAGGCCACTCTCCTGATGACGACGTTCTGTGCACTACACGACGTTGAGGCCAAGAAGGGAGAGGTGATGGCGGTGGAAGGGCACGGCAAGGCTCTGAAGGCTGTCAACCTCGACGAACCGCGCACCCAAGTCCACCTCGGACGTATGGTCGGCGAGCAGGAGCAGCGGTGGTACCTGGACTCCGGCGCCAGCAACCACATGACGGGCTCCAAGGAAGCCTTCTCTAAGCTCGACGGCAACGTGACCAACACGGTGAAGTTCGATGACGGCTCAAGGGTGGCGATCCGAGGGCGCGGCACCATCATCTTCAGGTGCCAGAACGGCGAGCACCGCGCGCTGACAGATGTATATTACATCCCGCAGCTGCGTTCAAGCATCATCAGCATTGACCAGCTGGATGAGCGCGGCAGCGAGGTACTGATCAAGAACGGCATCCTCAGGATCAGGGACCGGGAGCAGCGGCTTCTTGCCAATGTGAAGAGGTCCTGGAACCGACTGTACCTGCTCGACTTGAAGGTGGAGCAACCCATCTGCTTGGCTGCACAGCACACGGAGGAGCCGTGGATGTGGCATGCCTGATATGGCCATCTCAGCTTCGACGCTCTTGGTCGGCTGAAGAAGATGGTGACTGGGCTGCCTCATATCGAGCACGTAGGCGAGCTGTGTGACAGCTGCCTAGTCGGGAAGCAAAGAAGGGTGCCGTTCCCGAAGACGGCGAAGTACCGCGCGGCATAGGCCCTCGAGCTGGTCCATGGTGACCTCTGCGGGCCAATCACGCCGGCGACGCACGGCGGGCGCAAGTACTTCATCTTGCTGGTGGATGACTGCAGCCGGTTCATGTGGCTACAGCTTCTGACCAGCAAGACCGAGGCAGCGGAAGCGGTCAAGAAGTTTAAGGCGCGCGCGGAGGCGGAGAGCGGCAAGAAGCTACGCGTGCTGCGGACTGATCGCGGCGGCGAATTCACTTCAATGGAGTTCGCTGTGTACTGCGCGGATCAGGGTGTGGTGCGACACCACACCGCGCCGTACTCGCCACAGCAGAATGGCGTGGTGGAGCGGCGGAACCAGACGGTGGTCGGCATGACTCAATCCATGATGAAGGCCAAAAGCATGCCGGCAAAGTTCTGGGGAGAGGCGGTGACCACGGCGGTGTTCATCCTCAACCGCGCGCCCACCAAGGCCCTGAAGGGCAAGACGCCGTTCGAGGCTTGGCATGGACGTAAGCCGAATGTGTCCTTCCTCAGGACATTTGACTGCGTCGGCCATGTGAAGAACACCAAGCCTCACCTCGGCAAGCTGGAAGACAGGAGCACGCCGATGGTGCTCCTGGGCTACGAGGAGGGCACCGAGGCGTATCGGCTCTATGATCCCAAGAGAGGCAATGTGGTGATCTCTAGGGATGTGGTGTTCGATGAGATGGTGGCCTGGGACTGGGAGGGTCCGGGCACGGGGGAAGCTGGCAGCTTGAGCAAAACCTTCGTCGTCGAACACTTAGTCATCCACGGTGGTGGAGACGCTGGAGAAGAGGTGCCGACCACCCCAGGAGTGGCGCCCGAAAGCGATCCCAAAGGCAATGCCGACCACTCGAGGGGGTGCCGAGCACTTCAAAGCCAGCGGTCTTGAAGCGCTCCGGCGAAGGAGTCGACCACTCGAGGAGTGGTGCCGAGCCCGCTCAAAGCGATGGATCCGACCACTCAAGTGGTGCCGAGTGGTCCGGCGGCGATCACGATGCCACACCGGCGTAGCAGGGAGGCCATGGACCACCGCCCGAGTTCACCTCCACCCACCCACAAACATCGACGAAGCGGTGGTGCCGAAAGCGGTCAAAGCGGCGATGCCGACCACTCCGGCAGAACAGGGAGGCCATGGACCACCGATCGAGTTCACCTCTCCACCCACCGACATCGACGAGTACGTGGATGCTTTCCACGACGGCGAGGAGGAGGTCCGGTTCAGGCGGGTGGACAACATCGTCGGCGAAGGGGGAGCTCCTGGGTTGGCCAGTCGTTTTCTCGACGACTCAGAGCTGCTCCTTGTTAGTGCAGAGGAGCCACCGACGTTTGCAGTGGATGAACGCGACGACAATTGGCGCCGGGCGATGTTGGAAGAGATGAAGGCCATCGAGGACAATGGGACATGGGAGCTGGTGGATCCACCGGTGGGCTACAGGCCGATCGGGTTGAAGTGGGTCTACAAGGTGAAGCGGGACGAGCGCGGCGCCATTGTCAAGTACAAGGCTCGGCTCGTCGCCCACGGCTTCGTGCAGCGTGAGGGCATCGACTTCGAGGAAGTCTTTGTTCCGGTGGCGCGAATGGAGTCCGTTCCCTTGCTGTTGGCCATGGCAGCAGCGAAGGATTGGCGCGTCCACCACCTCGACATCAAGTCTGCGTTCCTCAACGGCGAGCTCGCGGAGACAGTCTTCGTCAAGCAAGCTCCGGGCTGCGGCAGGCCCCTTGGGCGTGGAACGCCAAGCTCGACGCCACCTTGGGCGAGCTTGGGTTCACTCATTGCGCCACGAGCCTTGTATTTGTGCGTGGCGACGGGGAAGAAGGAGCTCGTCGTCGGCGTGTATGTGGACGACTTGATAAATCCCTGGAGTCGCGGGAGGAGGACATCGACGGCTTCAAGCGCGAGATGGTCGCTTTCGTTTCAAAATGAGCGATCTCGGCGCTCTCCTACTACCTCGGCATTGAGGTGAGGCGGGGAAGAGCACATCTCCACGGGCGGTAGCGCCTATCGGAGAAGCTGCTAGAGCGCAACAAACATGGCGGAGTGCAAGCCACGCGCGCAACTCCAATGGAGGAGCGGTGGAATTTGTCCAAGCCTGACAAAGATGGCGGCGAAGGTGGGCCTTGACAGCGCTCTTCGAGCATCGTCGGCGAGTGCGCTACCTCACGCATACTCACCGAACATCACGTTCGCGGTTGGGTATGTCGTCGCTTCATGGAGGACCGCGAGGATCACCGGACGGCGGTGAAGAAAGGGCTGCTGCTGCCACGTCAAGGGGCGCTTCGATCAAGCGATCATCTTCCCCAAGAGTGGCGGCAAGGGTGGGCTGCGGCTCACGGTCTTGATGAGGCACCCCAAAGGCAAAGGAAGGTGGCCGGAGCTCCTTTATTTTCGGCCGACATAAACATGGCGGACGACATCGACGGGTGAGCGGAGCACCTCCGACGTGCTCGTCTTCCTCGGGCGCCCCCATTGCTTAGCGATCGGCTGAAGCAAAAAGATCATGGCTATTTGTCGGCGTGCGAGGCGAAGTCGTCGCGGCAAGCCACGGTGGTGTGCCGGTATGTCTGGTACCGCGCCATGCTTTGGCGAAGCAGACCGGCGAGGAAACTCACCCACCGGCTCGATGGTGGACAACCCACCCGCCATCGCCCTCGCCAAGAACCACATCCTCCACAGCGGGGAGCAAGCACATTGACATCAAGTTCCACTTCCTCCGGGATTGCATCGATGGAGGACGGATCGTCATCGAGTTCGTCGAGACCGCGAACTGACTGGCCCGACATCCTCACCAAGTCACTCGGGCACCTGCGGTTCATGGAGCTGAGGAAGATAATTGGCATGGATGATGTCAAGGCATCGGGTTAGCAGCATGATTAGGGGAAAAATTGTAAGACATAATCTGCTGCCGATCTCTCTCTCTCTCTTCTTTGCAAGAGAGTTGGCATTTGGTCACTCGGTGTCCGATCTCTCTCATTGTCAGATGTGAGATGGCAATAGGCCACCTCTAGTACATTAGTTGGTAGCTATTACATCAGCCATGTCTTGGTAGTGGGCTGATCAAAGCTTTGTACTGCTAGTACTAGGAGTAGTTGGTGTGCCTTAGGAGTAGATAGTTGGTGTACTCACCAACAACTATGTACCTGGTAGAGGTACTAGCACTTGTATATATATCACACCTAGGCAATGCAAAAAAAAGCGATTCAGATTTGCCACATCCGAAAATGAGCTTTCGAATGGTATTTGGGCTTGTCTTTGTGTGTGTGTGAGCTGTTCTCAATATCTACTTCTACCTCTAGCCATAGTGAGTGAATGTGCTGGTAAGTTTACTGCTTACCTGTGCAGGGCAGCCGAGGGACCAACAGCCAACAGTGACAAGACCCAAAGACCTTGGCGGCTTGGGATACCAGATTTAGAAAAAATTTGGGAGAGCTCTTCGCTTACGATGGCTCTGGCAAGATTGGGTGGAGGAATCCAAACCTTGGGCGGGCGCGGACCTACCTTGCAACGAGACCGACCGGCTGCTCTTCAACCTATCAACCAAGATCACGGTCGGTGATGGCGCAAAGGCACGCTTCTGGCACAACAGCTGGCTGTAGGGCGAGATCCCTAAATAGTTAGCACCACATTTGTTTGAGCGGATTAGAAGGAAAAACAAATCGGTCCAACAGGAACTTCGAAACAACAGTTGGATCCGATCCCTAGGAGGCAGAATCACCACCACCGTCCAAGTTGAGGAGTTTGTCTCCCTTTGGATAAGGCTCCAAAACATCCAGCTGACGCCCGGAGTTCGCGACTCCATAGTTTGGAGATGGACTGCTGATGCCTCTTACTCCACCCGTTCAGCGTATAGGATCCAGTTCAAAGGTTCCTATAGCGAATTCCGTAATGACCTCATATGGAAAGCGCATGCGGAGAACAAAGGTAAAGTGTTTGCTTGGGTCTGGTGCGAGAAAAAATCCTAACAGCGGATAATCTACAGAAGAGGGGCTGGCCTCATCATGATCAATGTGCCCTATGTAACGGACCTTTGGAAACATGCCTTCATCTATCACTCCTTTGCCCTTTCGCCAAGGCGGTGTGGAGTCAGATTCTTTCATGGGAGCACTTTGATGTACAGTTGATCCACCCAACTCAAGACCCACATCATCTGAAGTCATGGTGGGGGCAGCAGCCAAGATAGTGAAAGAAGAAAAAAAGGCGCCTCAACAGAATGGTGATCTACACGTTGTGGAACATATGGAAGGAAAGAAACAGGAGAATTTTTAACAACACCCACGAGTCGGCAATGCAGGTGGCTTTAAGGGTAAAAGAGGATATCGAGCAAAGAAAGAGGGCTTTAGCTTGGGGAGGGGGCAATATCACGACACAAATTCTGTAATCTTTTTGGGGTCATGCCCCCTTTTTGCTCTGTACATAAACCTCTTTTCCCTATCTTAATTGAAGGGCAGAGCTCCTGCCATTATGTTAAAAAAAAAGGAATTAAAAGCCCATGAGAATTCAAGCAGAAGCTATTTAAACAAGGATGATTCCCGACGAATTTAAGAGGCAGTATGCAAACATCCAGTAAGCTATCAGTAATGCCTCAGCCACAACAAATATTTCTCTGCTATGGTTTCGGAGAAGGAAATTACCAAACCTGCCAACAAATAGTTCTCTGCTATGGTTTTGAAGGAGGAAATTACAAAACCAGTGCTCATTTTACATATGGCATTAATCTAGGAGGGAGCAAGTTCTGTACACTATGAGGGACAGGGAGAGGACATTCTAAGATTTTTGAGAGTCAACATTAAAGAATTAACATTGCTAATCCCTGGATGTCGAGGAGCAGAGGTAACTAATGAACTGGGAAAGGCGAACAAGAAAGGAAAGGAATGATGATAATTCATCATTTTAATAACTCCAGTAACATGATATTAATATTACAAGGAAACAGCATCAGGAGAAAAAAATTGGACAAAGATTTAGCACGAATGGTGCTTTACTGCTTTTGTTGCATTCGCGATGGGCTGTGGGGTTGTGCACAAGCCATTTTGATAGATCAGGATGTCACGTGGTAGAGATAATTGCAGTAGAACCATTGTTATCCTAGGAGAAGTGAAAATAGCATGCCAGGCAGGATAATCGCAATGACTTTGGCTTTGTACTTAATATTTGTATGCATTACACAATGGTCAAACATGATGACACCAGGGGAAGTTTTTAGAGGTTCCAGATCTCGGTATCAAGATGAATAAAATTTGCAGTCATTTATGGATAATATCCACAGCTACCAATGGTAAGGTAATGTTTGATTTGTTACACTACAGCCTTACTAGTTGACGACATACCTTCTTTTCAATTAAATGAAAAAACTTTGCCAGCACTGCTAGATATGTAAGAGGAGAAAAGGAGACATGTCAACAAAACATACCACACTTTGAAACCATCGCATACAATAAGATTCCTCCCATGGAATGACCAATAGCAAGCAATTTCCCATCCTTCGGTACACTCTGTTTTCTTATGTAATCCATCTGAACAAACAAAAAACATTGCACGCTTCTTAAAGGGGTTTCCAAGGTACCATCTGACTAGTATACATGAAGAATGTCTACAAACCGCAGCAGGTACATCCTCCTCCAGATAATGGTCAAAGTCCCAATCATAGCTTATAATAAGCTCCAATTGTTTCTGTAGGTCTTCTATGGTTGCAGAGAGGCGTTCTTGCCAGCCAAACAGCTTAGGGGAAACACTTTGTTGACCCTCCCCCAGAATCTTCACAAGGCGCTGACTTAAATTGCTAATTTGATCAGATATCACTGATGTCTGTGGCAATTCCAACAAACCTAAAATCCTTTCTGAAACCTCCTCAAGGCTAGCTAAGGAGGCATCGGGAGCAAGTTCTGACACTCGATCAAAAAAACTGTCAGCTATGTTTTTCAGCTGGCTATCTTTTACATAACCTGAGAATGTTTCACCCAATTGTGCCAAAGCATTTGACAACTTTGTCACCAGCTGTGGTTCTTCTGATATACTTGTTCCTACCATGTTCTTATCTGCTATTACTGGAACTTCAGAAATAAGAGGTTGAGAAGTGGACATATTCTTAGCAGGAACAACACCACTTGCTTTTGCTGTAGAACTTTCATCCAAACTAGGATCAGGGGTGATGTCAGACTCGGTGTTAGCTGCAGCTAGTTCTGATCCACGCATGCTCAGGCCTGCACCACGCACTTCAACAATCCATGTATCAAATCCTTGCATGGACATATGACGAGCAAATGAAGCCTGACAGCATTTCATATGTATCGATTAAAATCAGGGGTCAAAGGGAAGCCATTACGGAAAAAAAACTATAACCAAGAACAATTACAACAATACAAAGAAAACAGTTACTCCCTCTATCCCAAATTATAGGTCGTTTTGGTTCTCTAGGTGCATAGCTTGATAATATGCTATGTCTAGAAAAGCCAAAACAACCTATAATTTTTTTTTTGTAAAGGAGATTTACTCGGCTTCTAAGAAAGCCAATAAAAACAACCTATAATTTGGAACGGAGGGAGTAATTCATATTTTTTTTGTTATTGAGTGTAACATGTAACCAGAGAGCACACAAAACCTGAACAAAGAAAATCATAAAAAGAATATCATTGTTGTTTCATAGTAGAAAAATTAAGATTATTATAATTCGTTTCCGGTTGTAGAAGTAGAAGAGCAATAACAACATACATGGGCAAAACTAAGATAGTACACAAATGAAAACTAACTAGCATGTTGTCGTACAAGGTTGATTTTCATCACTGCTATATAGCTGGCAAGTTGATACTTCACAAGGGAAAAGTTTTGCCAATAGCATCCAAAGACAAAAACTACTATCAGTTACACAAGAAAATGTTCATTGTTTTCTGGTAAAGTTCAGTGTGCTGCATATTTCTTATTCTCACTACATTCCATACTAGCTACCCCTCCGTTCCAAATTATAATTCACTTTTGTTTTGTCCTAAGTCAAACTTCTTTAATTTTGACCGAGTTTATAGAAAAAAAATTACTAACATATAAAACCGCAAATTAGTTTTATTAGACTCTTCATGAAATATATGTTCTGATAGAGCATCTACTTGACCTTGTAGAAGTTGATATATTTTCTAGTAACCATGTCAAAATTAGAGAAGTTTAACATAGGACAAAGCCAAAGTGAACTATAATTTGGAACGGAAGGAGTACATATGAACTTTTGTCATTTTGAAGTTGTGTCACTATCTTGTTGATTGATCTGCTCTATGCCCCAGCATGTGCTATCAATGTATTTTCATTAGCATTTTGTTGCTCAGAACTAAGCTACTTCTGAATTCAGAACTAAGAAGTTCCACCTGTTCCTTATTTGATTTTCCCTACTATTTTTTGGAAACACCAGCAGAGTCTGCATTTGGAAGCATTAAACAAAGCCAGTTTCTCTATGAGCAATGTCTTGATTCATAGCGACTCCTAATTCATGACGAATTTTGTTCACAGAAAACAAGTATGCACTCTTTGCACGGTAGTTTATCCACACACCACACCAATAGCTCCATTATGGACAAGCTCACTCACCCCAGGGGACAGGTCGAACCCAATGGCGTTCGTGGCCACTCCAGACAGCAGCATCAGCGGGTGGTTCCTCTTCGGCGCCTGTGCAAACCAAACCAGCACAATCAGCAACCAGAAAAACCCAACGAAGCACCACCAATCACACTCGCACAGAAGCAGCTATCTCTATTGACTCATCACCTCAGGCGGCGGACGGTACCGCCAGAGCGCGAGCCGCCACTCGGTGCCCGGCACGGGCGCGTAGTGCAGCTCGTCGGCCGTGCATATAGCGGGCTTCTCCGCCACATGCTCGCAAGCTGCTGCGGCGGCGGCGGCGGAGGCGGAGGCGACTGCTCCCGTTTGCGAGGGCGAGGAGGGCGGCGGCGAGGCGCGGGAGGAGGCGAACGCGCGGAACCCCGGAGGTGGCGGGCGCGCGCACGGGGAGGTGCGGGAGGCCCTGGAGGAGGAGAGATGCGCGACGGCGGCAGCCGCGAGGAAGGCGCGGAGCTCGGCCGCGTGCGGCAGCCGCATGGTATCGGTCTGGCTCGCTCGCTCGGCCTCGGCGGTTGGGATCCTCGGTTCTGGACTTCTGGTGTGTTCTCTGTCGTTCCCCTTCCCCAATTCCCATCCTTTCCTCGCCGGTTTGGTCCGCGGCCGACTGCCCGCTTTGCTTGGCTTTGGCTGAAGAGGCTTTTACATGTATGCCACTGACAAAGTTTGTAATTATACAGAAGCCATTAAAAAAAGGTGACCGCATACAGGTGCCACTGCTTTAAACTTTTTTTTTGTCTTACACGCCATTTCGTTCTTGTTCTGTTTGTTTTTCGTCGTTTGGTAGCCCTTATAGGTGGGACCGGCCAGTGAAATTGTCCATGTTGCCCTTGGACGGTGGTCGTCCATCCTCTGCTTGCCTGCCCCACTTGCGCGGCGCGTCTGCTCTAGGGGAGATCCGCCAGAGATTGAGGAGAGGGACGGAGGCGTCGGGGCCGGGGAGCGGCGGCGGCGAGGGATGGACGGCCACGGCGGCGGGGTAGTGGCGGGGCCGGCAAGCTGACGCGGACGCCGTCCTCGCTGCTGCGCTCGCCCACGGTGCCAACTGCTCCTCGTTTCCAGGCCGTGGTTGTCGAGGACCCGGAGCCCGACGACAAGAAGGCTCAGGCGCACCCCAAGGCCCCGCCGCACCACTTCCACCCCCGCGGCGGTGGCTTCGGCAGCCCCGACCACCCGCTGCTCGTCATCGCGCTCCCGCTCGCCTTCCTGCTCCTGCTCCTGCTCCTGCTCCTCCGTGGCGGCAGCGACGGCCACCACCTCGCCCTCCTCGCGTCGTCCACGGCCGCCGCCGCCGAGGGTGCAGGGCGGTGCCGGGGCCGGGAGCGTGGGGCCAGGCCGCCGGGGTCGCCTTGACAAAGCCAGCGACGAGCGCGCGGGGCAGCGCCTGAAGCCAGTCGTCGCGGCCGATGTCAGGCGGCAGCGCACTCATGACGTGCTCGAGCAGATGCTCCTTGCTGTAGACCACCGCCGACACGCCGTTGTGGCCGTCGAACACCTGGCGCGCCAGATCCAAATAGCGGAGGGGGCGTCAGATGGTGGAGCCGGTGGTGCGCACCCGTTACAGTGCCGCACTTTCTCGTCCACAGCCCACAGGCGCGCGCTACTGCTCGCAGCTGCTGGCCCCTGCGCCTCCGTTGCCGTCACCAGGTGGCGGGCCCAGTCTGCGTCCTCCACCTGCCCGCGGCAGTCGGCTGCCCAAGGTCCCGGCTGTGCGCAACGCGGAGGCACTCCGAGCAGGGTGGATCTACTTCTGTTCCCAACTGCTAAGCGCCGCCGCGGGTTTTGCCGTGAGGAGCTCGCCGTCCTCGCCGTCAGGGCCTCCTCTGCGCTCTCCTCCCGGGGCGCGGCCGCCGAGCTCAGCGGGCGGAGGCGCGGCACCGTAACACCCCTCGTCTTTATGCCGCGGCCAGAGGAGGATGAGCAGAAGAGACCGAGAGACAAGAAAACTAACGTGGCGGTGAATCATAGTCAACACGATCTCCACCGTTCAAGGGCAACATGGACAATTTCACTGGTCGGTCCCACCTGTAAGGACTACCAAACGGCGAAAAACAAACAGAACAAGGACGGAATGGCGTGTAAGGCAAAGAAGTTTAGAGCGGTGGCACCTGTGTGCGGTCACCTTTTTTAATGGCATCTGTGTAATTACAAACTTTCTTAATGGCATACATGTAAAAGCCTCTTCGGTGAATCGAGTGGCGGCCACGTGGGAAACATGCGGTGTTTGTTTGATTGATTGGTGGTACCCGGACCACAGCAACCGCCGTCGTCAAGGCGGGGATTCATGTGTGTGTGTCTCAGTGTGTGTGGTGTGAGCTGTTGCGTGAGTTTTACTGCATCTTGTACTTAAAGAGTTGAGAAATAAAAAAACAGGGATTCATTGGGTCCTTCGTCTTCTATGTTAGTGCAGCTCCGACTATTATCTTTGGTCTCTATCATATCGGATGTTTGGATATTCTAAATATGAGGATTAAATATGACCTAATTATAAAACTAATTACATAAATAGAGACTAATTTGCGAGATGAATTTATTAAACCTAATTAATCCATCATTAATACATGTTTATCATATCACTACATTGTCAAATCATGGATTAATTAGGTTTAATAGATTTGTCTCGTAAGTTAGTCTACATCTGCATAATTAGTCTATGTTTAATACTCTTAATTAATGTCAAACATCCGATGTGACAGGGACTAAAGTTTAGTCAGGGAAAAGCATTGTCCTAATACTATGTATTTTAATAGAAGGAAGAGAAAAGCTAACTCTTGATCATGAGCTAAGCTCTTGCATATATTTTAAGATTATGTGAGGGTGTCATGTGTATACATGTTAAAAGCTATATGCTAAAAGTTAGTATTATTAAAGAAGTTGGCTTAGAGCTAGCAACTGACTCTAACTATTGCGGGTGCCCTTACTCGTAAAGTTGTTTTAAGTCAAACTTTCAAACTTTGATCAGATTTCTACAAAATCTCATAAAAATTTATGATATTAAATTAGTATCATTAGATATAACATATAATATATTTTTATAATGTACTCATTTTATGTTACATATGTTATTATTTTTTCTATAAATTTAGTTGAACTTAGGATAATTTAATTCACATAGATTCTAGAAATTGATTTATTTGGAGAGATCGTAGAGCAGATCACCTTGAGCTAGTTTCCTTTGTACATGGCTAATGGAAACAGAGCCAGAGGTAATCTTCGTACATGGCTAATGGAAAGAGGGCCAAAGCTAATCTTCGTACATGGCTATGGACATGGTGCTAGGAGGTGGTATGATAATGACACATGGCGTCAGTCCAATGCAATATGCAAAATTTTATAGGGACAAACCCTTAAAAATAAATGAATTTTAGGAACTATTTTCTTAGGATTTATTTGTATATAGATATTCAGAGACATAAAGTTGCATTAGGTTCAATACCAAATCAGTCTAAGTATTGAAATTGGATAAGATTTAAATTTTGCTGTTTAGATAACCATTAAATTGCCTTTTGGAATCTGTCGATCGTGAGGAAAAGGAGAAGGGCCGCTAGCCTCATGGAAGAAGAGAAGGGCGCCGACCGCCATACATTGACCATGGGGAAGAAGGGAAGAGCTCACCGACCATGAGCAAGAAGAGAAGGGGCGTAGAACTGCTGCTGCGTCACGGGCCGCAACAATGACTGCAACGACCCTTTTTTCTTCCCCGTGACGTGTTATTATGACATGAGAAGACCCTAATTGATGAACGTGATGGAGGATGTGGGCAAAGTCGACCTAATTAGGATGAATGCTTTTACAAGAGATAGATATTAAAGACGTCACCTAGACAAGACTTGGTATAAGAGAAAATTACTTCCTTGCTCCTAAAAAAGTTGTGTTTTCTTTTCTTGACCCTTTTTATTTTAAACTTTCCTATTTGGCCCCAAAATGAAATTCGATTCCTTTCTTGGCCCTTTAGTTAGTTTGAGGCTCAAATAGTGTTAACTTGTACGTAAAATTACCCTTTTATCTCTAGTGCCAAAGGCAACAGTACAACAGCCGCCATACATGTCTTTTAGGCTGCCTACTATCAATAATTTTCCCAAAGAAGATACAATATATTTTCAAGCATGGAATCAGTATTTTTTCTATATTTGCACATGACATTCATCGCACTGACCATTTGAAATGCATATAAAATCCACAATTGCAATCCAAGTGCACACATACACAATGATGACAAATCAATAGATGGAACATTAAGTTGGTTGAGGTCATACATGAACAAGGTGCACACATAGGTACACCAGATGTCTAAGTTCACAAATAAGTTCACTTACATTGGCTCACATTAACCAAGCCAAGTCAACATGCAGTACATAACATCGCATATGAGAGAACATGCATATCAAAAAACAAAGGCTAAGCCTTCTTTTGCTTCTTGTACTCATTACAGAGATAGGTGATTGTGTTTTTATGCTTCTAGTACTCATGGAGGGCTATCAAGTGGCACATGTGAAGTGTTAGGATCCTTTGTACCTAGCCCTTGCTTCTTCTTTGTGGATTTCAACTTCTTTTTACCCTTAGCATTCATAGGTTGTTCTATGTGTGAGGGATACTCGATGGAAAGTGCTTCAAGACTAATTCTTCTTGACATATAAACATTCAATTTTAGCAACAAATGGTGTTAGTTCAATATAAAATAGTCAAACAGAAAAACTTTAGAATTAGGAAAAAATATCTTCTGGATGGTCTAGAGTTAGATTTATTATGGTTTCCCTTAGTCTTACATGAAATCTCCAAGCTTTGGCTGTGATGATAGAGAGCATCTATTTAGTCTACTAACCAAGTTGCCATTAACATTAACACAAAATTTCAGCACTAGTGTCAATTACCTTCTAGATGCTTCAGGAGTACAATCATTGTTAGTTCTATTTTTGTTAGTTATTGTTTCCAAGTTTTGACTAGAGGGACAAAGCCCATATTTAAAATTTATGACAAGTTTGAAACAACAAATAGAAGAAGTAATAAATTGTAAACCTTGGTGGAAAAGACATGGATGCCGCCGATGCATCATCCTCCAAAGGAACAAATAGAACTTTTGTAACACCTCTGGTGTTTTGACCTAATACTAAAATTTGACATGTCATCATGTGCATTGCAAAGCATTCATTTAGTATAAAGTTTTGAATGCATTCACTAAATAAGGTTTATTTCATAATGTTGTTATTTCATGTGATGTGTTTCAAAAACCCTAAATACAGATCATGACCACAGGGGTTAAATTTCATGTGATCATGTGAGGTCATATGTCCTTTGACTCAAATAACCCTAATGGGCCATGTTACTGGTCAAAAATCAAAATCTAAGTAAAAGGAAGACAAATCAAATTTGAATTCATTTTCAAATTATAAAAGTCCTTTTTGCCCCTTTTGACTAATTCAAAATCCATGAGGAATTTGGGGTTGAGGCAAAAAAGCAAAGTTGGAGATTATTTTATGTAG